GAGCATGTGTGTGCAAATACGAACCCTGCCATTTTGAGTCCCTTATACTCCCCCTTTTCGCCAACGTAAGGCCTCATACTCAAAAATCGAATAGACTCGGAACTGGTGACTAGGACGGGCATTCATTCGACCAACCTTATACAGTTTTTTTCTTTTTTTGTGTTTTTTTATACAAAGCCTAAGAAAAAATACACCTGAAAATGACTTGCGTGCCAAATGAACTTTTCTCTCAAAGTTTAAACTGCTGGCAAATGTAAATAGGGATTAAAATTTAATACGCTGTACATATGTAGTTGGTAAAGATAGAAAGAATGAAATAAAATAAGGCAACAAAAGTTAAAGATGTTTATTTAATTACGTGCGAAAATCAAACACTAAATTGAAAATTAAACTAAAAATTTATGATTAAAGAAAACAAAATGAAATAAAATTTAATAAAATTAAACTAAAATAAGAAAAGATAAAAACACAGGAAAACCAAATCCAAAATAAAATTAACCAATTAAAAAAATTAAAACAACTATAAAAACAATGAGAATTCAATACGATAAAACAAAATTTAAGTAAGATATAATTATATTAAAAAAAATATGAATAAGGTGAACTATAATGAAACAAAATGAAATAACATAAAAAAATAAAACGAATTTAAATAAAATAAAATAAACTATATACATATAAATTAAATAACAGAATAAAAGAAATATGAAATAAAATAAATTAAAGATTAGAATAAAATTAAAATGAAAGCTAAATAAAAAAATTAAAAGAAAATCAAATAACAGAATAGAAAAAAATGAAATAAAACGAATTAAAACAAGATTAGAATAAAATTGAAATAAAAGCTAAAAAAACAAAATGAAAGATTTAAAAAATTTAAAAAAAAAAATTCAACTAATTTTAAAATTAATTAGGAAAAAAGATAAAAAGAATTAAAAAACAGAAATAAAAAATTGAAAATTAATATTATTGAACATAAAACCAAAGGAAATTAAATAAACACAAAAAATTAACTAAACTAAAAAAACCTAAAGCCAAATATTATTACAAAACGACGTAAAACAAAATATAAAAAAATTTCAAACTAAATAACAAGGTAAAAAAAAATTAAATGCATTAAATAATAAAAATCAGAAAACACAAACAGATAATAAATATAAAAAATAAATTAAACAAAAAAATAATTAAATAAAACATCATAAAAAATAAGCAATAATTAGTAAAAAACATTAAAAAAAAAATTAAAGCAATGCAATAAATTTGGAATAATTAAGACTTGACCAGCTGAAGTGCACTGCGAAGAGTTTTAATTTTCGAACAGCTAAGAAGCTATGATGTTATTTACGCTAATGTTTTTATTCCTATTCGCCCGACAATCAGCTGTGGTGGACGAGCGCAGTCAAATGTATAGCAACCCTAATGAGCTTTTGCCCCAGCTAAATTTCATAGCGAACAACTTTCTTTCTCTCAATTTTAATATGCGCGCTCTCACGCTCACTCACACTCAAACACAACTCAACAAAACATGCGCTTTTCGGGGTTGCACCGGGGCTGCAATCAATGTAAATTCATACGAGTATTCAAATTGTGCAAGCCGACAGCAAAGCTGGGCACATTCAGCGCTCGTCAACACGCTTTGACGATGCAGACAGAGATAGCTGTGGTATTGAGTCGACCGCCAGTTGACGATGAGTTGATAGTCAATACAGCTTTGACTTGACGCGCAGGCTTTCAGTTCGATTTCAACAACGGTATTGTACGGATTACAAAGTGACTGGAAAAGCGCACAAATACACAACGCACAAACAAACAAAATATCATCTATGAAAAATGAAATGAAATGAAACGCTTCATGACGGGCTGTGGAAAAAGGGGCAAAATAAAAAGCAAAATAAATTAGTATGCACTTTAATGAAAAAGGGAAAAATGTTGTGCTTCAAGGAAAAAAAGTCTAACAAAATAATATCACAGTGATTTTCGGACAAGCGCAAGAGGCATAAAACTGCAAAAACAAAGTTGCAGTGAATACAGAAAATATACAGAAATTTGTGAATACATATGCATACATAAACCTATGTTGTATGTACATACATATGTATATGTTAAGACCATTGCACTAGAGAGCAGTATTCGGATTGCAGCTGCAGTGCGTGAGCGTGCGTGTGTGTCTTTGGCGTTAAACTTTATTTAAAATATATTTGTACNTGCAAGTATGCTAAAGCGAATGAAGCTGGTGTGAGGACAAGTAGAGGTAATAAAAAAGAAATAAAAATATTAAATATGAATTAAAAATAAAAAAAAATAAAATATTGGAAAAGATTCAATAAATTTAATATTTAATATGAAAATAAGTAAATAAAAAATTTAGTAAAAGAAAAATAAAATTAAGTTGTCTAAAATAACCTAACATAAAATGAAACTAAAATAGAGAAAATAAAATTATTTAATGCAATTAGTTAGGTTAATCAAATAAAAATAATTATGTAAAGTAACAAAAATTTTAACAAAAAATAAGAAATATAAATATAATAGAAACTTGTTTAAATTAAAAGAAAATAAAAAACAAATTCAAACGTAAGTTTAAGCAAAAAAAAAAAATAAGTTTTTTAAGTGAAAATATAAAGTAAACAATTAAAAACTAAAAATGAATGAAAAAAAACTAAATAACAAAAAACATTACAACTCAAACAAATTAAACTTAATTAAAAACTAAAAGAAAAGTTATAGAAATTTATACAAATATTAAAAATTTAATTGAATAATGCAAAGCGAAATCATAAAAGTTTAATGAATGCAAAGTTAAAAAAATAAAAAAATTATCAAAATTTAACTTTGAAATGGAATACGTTGCCAAGAAGTTTAGATGAAAAAAATTCTTAGAACAATGGAATAATGTAAAGAATCTAAGCAACAAAAAAGCAAATAAAATAAAAATAAAAGTATAAAATGTAAACAAAAAGCTGGCTATTTAGAAATTCTACAATTTAAATATTTAAATAATAATATAATATTTAAATTTTTTGTTAAAGTTGCAAAAAATAAAAAAAACAACAATTAAAAAAAATTATTATAATAATAACAATAAAGAACTAAATACATAACGCCTAAATATATGCAATAGTTATACTTCTAAGGCAGCATCTGGAAGCTACATACGTGCCAGTACCGACAAGCTTAATAAACAAAATTGATTTGGTTTGATTTTTTATTCTATTAACAGCAGTTTAAATTGAAAATAATTTTTCATTTTCTGTAAATTTCCATATAAAATCCAAAAAATTAAAATAATTTTTCACTTAAATTGCTTTCGTGAAACTGGCTGTAAAAATATATTTATCAAAAAAAAAAAAGCTTAAAGTATCAAAATATAATAAATCACTTTTAATTTTAATTTTAAGTTTTGAATTGAAAAATGTTTGCTTTCAAATTGATTAAAATTTTCAAGTTTAAACGCCCAAAAAAAATTTAAAAAGGAATTTAATTTTTAAATCTATAATTCGCAAACTTATGCTGAATAAAAATTTAATTCCCCATACACAACATACATATATGGTTCATAGTTTTAAAACAATATAAATCGTATGCATTTTTTGATTAATTTTAATTTTTCAGTTGTTGTTGTTTTTATATTTGAAGTAACCGCCTCATTTAAATATAAAAAATCAAAACCTTGGTTTAAGTTTTGATTAAAAATTTCATTTTTTTTTATGTACTTATTTTAGATTTCATATTCAACAATTTTATTTAGCTTGATGTGGTGTGTAATTTGTACCATTTATAAATTATTGTCCTTTTCCACAAAAATTTTGTATTAAAAGCGGCATAAAACTCACTAAAATTGTTGAATTAAAATTTATTTTTTTTTATTCAAAACTAGTTGCTTTATCTTAAATCTGAGATATTTTGAACTAAACTCCTATAAAAAAGCTGAAAATCACAGACCAAAAACTAAAAAATTTGGACATTTAAAATTATGCAAAATTTAAAATATAACAACTATATTTAGTTTTTAGTTTACAAACTTTCAGCCATGTGCTTAAAATTTATTTATATTTATATTTAAATTACTTTTGTTTAAATATTTTTTTTGTTTTTGTTATTTTCCATTTTTTAGAATAGCTGCCTCATTTAAGAATATTTATTCTCGAATTTAAAGACATAAGATGTTATTTTTTGTTTGAAAATAGTCAGTGCAAAATTACACTAGAAAAATAAAAAAAAAATAATTCTGGAATTTCACAATTTAAAGACATAAGATGTTTTTTTTTTGTTTAAAAATACTCAGTGCAAAATACACTAGAAAAATCAAAAAAAAATTCTCGAATTTAAAGACAAAGGATTTTGTTTTTGTATTTGGAAATACTCAGTGCAAAATTTAATTTGAATAAGATTAACAAAGAAGGCGCCTTAGATTTGGGCATAACAACTTTAATTTTCGCATTTTAAATTTTTAATTTTTCCCTTTTTTATTTTTCAATACAAATTAGTTGTCCCATCTAAAAATAATGTATGTATATAATTCTACTTTTCCGATCTCCACTAACTAAAAAAAATTGCAAAAATAGTTGAAAAGGAAAGCGCGCTTAAAATTATGCTACAGTTGGTGGGATAAATATCTATCAATTCACTTAATCTAATTTATTTTCTTACAGACAAGTATTTTCATTAAAAACCACTCCACCAGACGATTACGTATATAGTGCTGGTGGTAATTTCAAAGACAAATTCAATTTGGTGGAAACAAATGTGTTTCACAATCTACCGAAAAAGAAAAAACAAAACGAATGATAAGATCCAACAACAACTAAAAGTAGATAAAATAAAAGCGATTGGAATTTCACAGATTTTGGAGCTCTGAAATGTCACCAAAGCAACAGCCGCAATTAAAAGTATTAGCCAGTAGTCGGAAAAAGTAGCCAAGCGCCTAAAAGCATGGTTGGTTTGGTAAAGAAAATTGGCATGTCAGAAATTCCCTTACTTTTCAAATACTTGTGTAATTAAAGAACAAAGGCCGCTTCGAGGCAAAAAATTCATAGTCACATTTTTCATTCCCCAAACCATGCTGCTAGCTGCCAGCGCCTAAAAATATGCCATTAAAAGTGTGTCAAGTAACACTTTAAAAGCTAAAAATGGCAACACTTGAATGACTAAAAATATATCGTCAACAGCAAAAGATGCTGATTTACAAAATTTATATTTATCAACGACATGTGCCGCATGGTATGCAAAATATTTTTAGCAGCACCTAAAAGTATGCACTTAAATGTTAAAAAAAAAAAACTGCAAATATGTATAAGAATAAGAAACAGCATAAAAACCAATACAAAGGCATAGAGTGTTGCCTGCATTTAGGCGTTAGCGCGCACAAGTTAAGTGACACTAACCTACAAAGCGCATATAAACTCATATAAATTTACACCTACTTTGCTATCGACCCGTCGCCTCAAAGTACTACAGCCCCTCCCTGCAATCTTTGCTAAAACACTACGGATAGGCTTTTCGTTTCTATTTTTTGCTTTGTTTTTTGTTTGCCGTTTTCAACCCTCATGTGTGTGTAGCTAACTTTGCATTCGGCCACAATAAGTGGGTGCCCACAACCCCGGAAAGTGGAGCAAACTCGCCAAGAGTGCTCTCATGTATTATATATATGTATATGTACTTGTGTGTGTATGTATGTGTGCTTTGTTGAATATGCGCTCACATTATTCTAACCTATTTTGCACCGGCACATGCAATAATAACAACAGCACAAACATCGATTGGAGCTGTTTATGTATAGCAGTCATACAACAGGTCTGCGTAAGCATGGAAATGGTTTGAAAATAAAACAAGTTCTATACTTTTAGGTGCAGTACATTGCACTCGCTTAGGTTAAGGACTAGGTAAATCGACTAAACTTTGCGATTTTCTGAAATTCAACTTATCTCGTTAGGAAGTGTTTAATACAATAAATACTGTGCTTGCTTTGAAGAGCATAAATATGTATGAGTTCAATTTTTAAAATATTTAAAAAAATTTGCAATCGAAAAATTGCAAAAATTTTCGGAGTAAATACATGTGGAGTATATTTTTGTCTTCATAGCAAATTTGGGCAGGAGTAGTACGCAAAATAATGATGGAACTATTGTTATTGTAGAAAACATATTTTTAGGCGCATATAAATTTAAACCAAATAAAATTTTGTTTCATTAAATTTTGTCAAAAAGGGAGGCACACGTTTCCAACTGTAACTGGTAAGACGGAATATTACATACTTTTAGGCGCTACACATATTAAACTAATAATAATTCTTATTTTCGTTTTCTGCATTTCATTTTACTATCAATTTTTTCAATTTTATTCTTTTTGGTTTATTCTATTTTATGAAAGGTGAGAAAAAATCTTGGCCGAACATAATTTTCATTTAATTACTTCACAATTTACTTAATATATTTCAGTTTAACATTAAATTAGTTTTTCTATTAAACTTAATTACCTATTTATTTTTCAGTTGCTTATTTACAGCCTGAAATTTTGCATAATTTAAA